ACTCATGCTGCAATGCTGCTTTCAGCTGAGAGTCTTTCTGGGAGTAATTTCTGGTTCTCTTTTTCCACTGAAGAATATATAATTTTCATGAAAGTTGTTGGAATTTCACTGCCTGTGAGACCCCTCCCTTTGCACCACATTTGCTTGGCACTGAATGAAAGTCAAGAGGTTATAAGGGAAAAGACAGAAGAACAGACTGATAGACTGAACAGGCACATGAACACACACACTCTCCTACACAGTCCTCCTCTGGAGAGGAGAGCAGCCTGAACGTGACATACTTATCCTCTGCTCTAAGGTATTGAGTGATATTCAGGACAAGTATAATGATCCTGAACATCTTAGCATTGTCTCTGGCTTCTCAACATGCAGGCTAAAGTTTTGCCTCTTCTATTGCCTTGTTTGTTGCTTTCCTCTCCTCCACATTATTATGTACCCCATTATACTTCTCATAAAGGTCCTTTATTGTTGTGCTTTAACAAACTCAACACCTCTTGGTACGGCACAACTAAAATATCTAACTCATCCGTCCTTATTCACAAGCTCTCTGGACTCCCTGTCAATTTTCTTCTCTGCTCTGAGTCACCTCTTGGAAGAAGAGGCTGATTCTGGACATCGGGGAAGACTGGAATCATTAAGAAGACCAACTGGGTTTCAGTAGGCTAGAGTCTTTGACCCAGTCTTGCAGTGATTTAGAAACCATTTTTCTTACCATGTTAAGCTGCCATAGCCTCTTGCAAACCCAGCCGTGGCAAAAAGCCAGACCTATCGCATCCTCCTAGAGATTAGCTAGTTTCCAAAGATTTAATGACTATTCAGGGAATTTTTAAGAGGATAAAATTACACAATTGTATAGTGCGTTGCATTCTAGAGAACCCCAAGCCAGATTTCAGTTATTTTTAAAGAAAATAAGCCATTTTTGAACTACGGAAGCTCTACTTGTTCCAAGCAATTAAACAAGTAATTATATTGGACTCCAATAACCTAAAATCAGCCAAGGCATTTGAAAAACAAAATGGTTAAAGAAAAACAACCTTTGGCTGAAATCTCATATGCCAGCAATTTAGCCTAAATCCTGCTCTATAAATCTCAGAGGAGAAGTGCTGACTTAGTGACATACTGGCTGCTGCTAAATGAAGTATAAACAACTATTTACTTTCGTTTCATGCAAAATTTATCATCACTACAAAAGCACAAAAGAAAATATGGCACTGCCAGCCAGGTCTGATTTTATCAAGGCAATGGAAATCATCGCAATTTGAAGGCTTTTGAGGAGGAAAAGCCTTTCATTTTCCTAATTTTGTCTCTGTTTCTGCAGCGTTATTATCTTCTTTTAGTATTTCTTTAACAGGAAGAGTGGAGAAGGTTAGAAATTTTGATTTTTTTTTCACCCTATTTTTAAGTTTGCTCATCTTCGTAGAGGGGTATCTCCTTTCTTCTTAGCAGATTCATCTGCTGTGGAGCTGCTCCCCACTAGGGCTTGAGAAACCAGATACTTGGGCTTGGAAATGCTCACAGTACACTGCCAAATTAAAAAGACCAGGTTGGTTGATAAGTTTCCTGAAAGGTTTAGACCAGTCCACTTTGTCTGTTCCATTTTGATATCCTCTGCAACACAGACCTAACTATTGCAAGGTTAATCACTGTCTCCATTTGTGTAATGAAAGTGCTATCTCGCTGGCTCTTCATCTGTAATCAAAATTCACAGTATGGAAAAATTCAGAATTACAG